TCGAGTCTGAAGAACAACTCGCTGAGTTGAAGAACAACTCGTCGAGTCCCAAGCATGCTATTACAATACATTCGATTCTAATCTATTTCAGTGCTTCCAAATCATAGATCTGAGCTTCTAGGATTGGTTTTACACGTAAAGTTTCCAACTTTACGTGCATGCATAAAGGTATGAGGCTAAAATACCCAAAATCATCAAATACTAGGCTCTTAGGGTTTGGAACAAGGCCCAGATTTCATAAAGGTGGCTATAATGAGCTCCTGGAGTTCAATAACGTCCAAATCTAAGGTTTCCATCCAAAGGAAAGTCCATATCTCAAGTTTTGAATCATATAAGGCTCCAAGGAAGACATAACAAGCATAAAAGAGGGTTTAATGGAGGAATACACAAGGTAATAACTTTATTACCTGAATGAGAAACAGATGGAAACTAACTCTTGGATCTCTTTTCTCTTCTATGGACCTTCTTTCCTTCCTTCCCTTCCAAAGCTTCCAAACTAGCACAAACACACTCAAGTTCAACAATAGGGGCTAGGGTTTACAGGGGAAATGCTCTAAAGGTGCTGGAGGCTGGGGTGGGAGGCTATGATGACGTTAAAATAGGGTACAAACCCTTGAAATTAGGGCTTCATCCAGACAGGCAGACTCACCGAGTCCCAACATATGGACTCGCCGAGTAGCCAACTTAAATCGCGAACTCATCCCGCTTCTACTCGACGAGTCGGGCTACAGACTTGTCGAGTACCCCTTAAGAAATGGAGATACTTAATTAAAATTACATACCAGAAATGGGGCGTTACAAAATCTTGGACTTAACTTTCCCCTTTTACCAAATCTTATAAGTCCCTTCCACGACGAGACTTTAAGCAAAACCGAATCTCCAACTTCAAAAGTCATCGGTCGTCGCTTGCTGTCAGCATAGCTCTTTTGACGATCCTGAGCTGCTAACATTCTATCCCTGATTATTTTCAACTTTTCAACGGTTTGATGGACTATCTCCGGTCCCATAAACTGCTTTTCCCCAGCCTCAAGCCAACAAGACGGCGTACGACACTTCTGTCCGTACAAAGCTTGATAAGGTGCCGTATTTATGCTCGAGTGGAAACTATTATTGTAGGAAAATTCTACCAAAGGTAAATGTTCATCCCAGTTACCTTGGAATTCCAGGGTACATGCTCTCAGCATATCTTCAAGTGTTTGTATCGTTCGTTCGCTCTGACCATCAGTCTGTGGATGGTAAGCTGTACTCAAACACAACTTGGTACCCAATTCCTCTTGTAGACTTTTCCAAAATCGCGAGGTGAAACGGCTGTCACGATCTGACACAATCGTTAACGGAACACCGTGAAGCCTCGCAATTTCCTTCACATAAGAATTCGCAAGTTTATCCATAGACCATTTCTCATTGGCTGCTATGAAATGCGCACTCTTAGTGAAGCGATCAACGACTACCCAAATCATGTCGTGACCATTCTTTGTTCTGGGCAGTTTAGTGACAAAATCCATAGCAATGTCTTCCCATTTACCCATAGGTACATGCAAAGGTTCTAAACTCATGTATGGTTTCTGATGTTGTGCCTTGACCCTCGCACATGTCACACACTCGGCCACGTACTTTGCAATATCAAGCTTCATCGTCGGCCACCAGTAGTAGGGTTTTAGGTCCCTATACATTTTAGTGCTGCCAGGATAAATTGAGTACATGGTTTTGTGAGCTTCTTCCATCAGAAGATCTCTTACTCCTCTTGACTTAGGTACCCAAATACGATCTTGGAATACCTTCAGTCCATGACCGTTTGTACCAAACACTAACGTTTTGCCCAAACGTTCCTCTTTCCGGTCATTCTTTTCAGAAGCTTCCTCTTGAGCTTTCTTTATACTCTCCACAATTGTCGAGACAACTTCTATTCTCAACGCTCTTGGCCTTTTTCTTTCAATATTGACTTTCCGACTGAGAGCATCAGCGACAACATTTGCTTTACCAGGGTGGTAAAGTATCTCACAGTCGTAGTCCTTAAGTAACTCTAGCCAGCGTCTTTGCCTCATATTCAATTCTTTCTGATTAAAGATATATTGGAGACTCTTATGATTAGTGAAAAGTTTGCACTTCGAGCCATAGAGGTAATTCCTCCATATTTTCAGAGCAAATACTACCGCTGCCAACTCCAAATCATGAGTGGGGTAGTTCTTTTCATGCTCTTTCAGCTGTCGAGACGCATATGCTATCACCTTTTCTCTTTGGGTCAAAACACAACCCAACCCAACACCAGACGCATCACTATAGACAGCGAAGTCTTCAACTCCATCGGGTAGAGAAAGAATCGGTGCTTCACATAGCTTCTTCTTTAGCAACTCGAATGCTTCTATGTGCTTATCACTCCAAGCATAAGTAGCTCCCTTGTGGGTCAAAGCTGTTAGTGGAGTAGCGATCGAAGAAAAGCCTTGGATAAACCTTCGGTAATATCCTGCTAATCCCAGAAAGCTTCGGATCTCCGTGGGACTTCTCAGTAATATCGTTGAAATAGTCCCCAGTACCGGTCAAAAGGACCGAAGGGGTAGGCCAGCACCCTGATATGCTAGACAAGGTACCGGTCGAAAGGACCGAAGGGGCAGGCCAGCACCCTGATATGCTAGGCAAGTTTAGCGGTTGAAAGAGACCGATGGGGTAGGCCAGCACCCTGATATGCTAGGCAAGTTACCGGTTGAAAGAGACCGAAGGGGTAGGCCAGTACCCGGTCATGTTAGACAATATGTTTATTGTATGATATGTGGTATGATGGGGGTACTCACTAAGCTTTGTGCTTACGGTTTTTAGTTTTTGTTTCAGGTCCTTCTTCTTCGAAGGGAAAGGAGCCGACACGATAGCAGCGTATCACACCACGATTTTCCGCACTATGATGTTCTTGGGATTTGTACTCTGACATTATTACCTTATGACATGTTTTGAGACATATGACTTATGGGTTTTTATGATATGAGATAACTTCATGATGTTTTCAGTAATGTGTTTTATGGATTATTAAATTAAAAATGAAATTTTTGGTCTTGGATTTTGGGATGTTACAATTAACCCATACTATATCCTGATTTTACCCATCAAGATTACCCAACATTAAATACCTCCGCAATAAAAAGTTATTTATGGTTTTCACGCACGTTTGGTGACTTGTCTAAAACAATGTTGTTTTGGCCCAAACTTGATTAAACTTACTTAAGTGGTTTAAAAATACCATTATATTCCATTTATATACTATATTTTTCCAAAAACCTAATTCGAGCCCCCAAAAAAAGATACAACCTTTTATAGCGGCCATAGAAGTATTCATGCTTCCAAGATATGATTATCAAAATTCAAAATCGTGTTCCAATAGCAAGAAACCGATTTTGAGCAGCAAATAAAGGATTGACTTGCAGAAAGTCATCAAGATCCTATTTTTCAACCTTATTATGGATGTTGAAGCTCGGTACAACCCTTATACTCTTTGTGCTTGTGGTTTAGCCTCAACGAAAAGGACATCTTGGAAGATGTTGAACCAAGGAAGGATGTTTTAAGGTCTCTAAAGTTAATGTTTGAAAGAAAAACAAAATATGATTTTTAGTGGATCGACCCTAAATTTGATATTCAGGTACAAAACTATCATTTTTCAAACATTTACAAAGTTGAAAGATAGTAAGGTACCTCAAGAACTACTATTGTTGTAAACAAGTCTAAGTTTAGAAAAGAAATGAAGAAAATTTTAAAAATGTGAAGATGGAAAAAAAATGGATATTTATTGTTTTTATTCTTGAAGTTGCTTTTTAAAAAAAAACAAGTTTTGCTAAAAAAATATCAACTTTTTAGCTTTGTTAAAACTTACTACTTTATATTCTTCTCCGTAATTTAAGGTCGGAGGGTATCATGTCATGGTTCTACCATTGCAAAACTCTTCACCTCATCTCCACCCTAACTCTGCATATAAGGCGCGTTCGGCAAAAATAGTTGGTAGCGGGTAACTTGTAGTTGGGTACGTTTTGTTAAACGCTACATGAAATATCATTTGGATTTCGATCGTTTTGTTTAAACTAAACACTAGAAGCTTGTAGTGTCAAACAATGCTTTCTGTTCGAAACAAAGCGTTTTGTCAAACGCTAGAAGATAGAAGCTCTCAAACGCTCTGTATCAAACACACCCTAAAAATCCATAGAAACAAAATCAATTTTAATTGCTCTAACTAACTGACATGCCATCACAATAAGTTAGAGGATTTGGTACAACTGCAACACAATACCTCCAAAAAAAAATAAACCATTTGGGTTGTGGTGACTTGGTAAGGCATGTGGAAGATATGGTGGATAACCTATTGACCCATGTTCAAATCCTGGCACTACTCAGCCCTTGTGGCCATGGAGGTTCGCCTGCAGTGACTCCAGGGCATGAGGCAAAGCCTCATGTTTGCAGCGGGGATTAGTCGGTGCGCGAAAGCTGGCCCGGAAACCCTCGTTAGGGAAGTTCCCTTTCCAAGAAAAATAGAAAAAATAAAGTTTCTGTAACATAATCAATCACAAACATACGAAGGTGCGAAAAAAATAATCGTATTGGTTTGATGAAGCTTCATCGGTTGATATGGGTTTACAAATCTCTTGAGGAAACACAATGGATACATGCGGTTTTAATTTGTTTATTATAATACTCCAATCACATATAAGAGCTATAATTAAAAAAAAAAAAGTATCAATTCAAATAAACATTTAACAAAACTGTTCTTGAACCTGAGATTATTTATAAAAAAAAAAAAAAAACATTTTCATAATTTTGTCTTTTGTGAAAGGGAAGTGATTTGTACACAACAATTTTTCTACATACATAACAATTTATGCCTTATGGAGTTGTACAATACAACACTTTAATGAACAAATTGTTGTGTACGGAAAAAACTGTAAATCCATATTATTATTATTATAAACTATAAATCCATGTCCCCCCTGCGAAAATGAAACGAATAGGCCAACGCGAGTGGATAAGTCACATCGGTATTCAAGGGGTTGGTGGGTTCAAGAAATATATAGCGCGCCTGAAAGTTGAAGAAGAGCAACAGCAAGATGGCTCCAACGGCATCAGAAGTCGTCGGAAAGTTAAACCTGAAACCACATCCAGAAGGTGGTTTTTTCTCGGAGACATTCAGAGACACTTCCATTACCCTTTCCACTTCTCAACTTCCCCCTGAATGTAAGTATCTCTTCACCTTTTCACACTAATCCGAGTCTGTATGTTATCATGTTCCTTGATCGTATAATGCCACCCTCTTTATGAAAGATTACATCACCTTCGCATCGCTTTAACTTATAAATTCAAGATTCACTTCTTTCTGAAGCCGTAGTTAAATCAATTTTGACCAGTCACAAGTTCTATAAAAGAAAATTAACAATGAACCCAATTTGACCCTTCACCAGTTCTTTCAGAAACTTGATCTGAATCGATTTCGACCCATCGCTAGTTGTTTTTGAAAATATGTATAGTGTGATTTGAAACTAAATGGGAACCCTAGTTTGAAATGAGCAAATCACAAAAGGGGATTCAAGATTCAACATTTTCTTACAATCGAAAGATTCAAGAAGTATTTTTTCTAATTCTGCTACATGATTTTATGTTACGAACAACAGATAAAGTTGATCGTCCCATCAGTACAGCGATATACTTCTTACTTCCATCTGGGAGCGTCTCACATCTCCATCGTATCCCAAGTGCAGAAACATGGCACTTCTATTTAGGCGAACCTCTCACGGTATGCTTATTATATGGCCTTTCATGGTTATTTGGGTTTAGATTTGAGTTTTTAACACCAGTTTTTCTGCCAAAAAGATACTGGAAATAGATGAGAAAGATGGGAGTTTAAAGTTAACATGCATCGGACAAGATATTGGTGAAAACCAACTGTTGCAGTATACTGTCCCACCAAATGTGTGGTTTGGAGCGTTTCCTACAAAAGATTATGAGATATCATCATCAACAGATAATGTTGTTGTGAAGAATCCACCCAGAGATGCAGAGGAACATTTTTCTCTTGTGGGGTGCACTGTTGCACCTGCGTTCCAGTTTGAGGACTTTGTGTTAGCTAAACGTTCTGACCTTGTTTCTCGTTTTCCTTCTCATGAATCCCTCATCACTTTGATTGCATTTGAAGATTAGGATGATGTGATTCCATTCCATGTAGTTTTTGCATGATTCGGTAAATTGGTTGTTGTCGATGACACCATGTATTTGAGTACGATTTTGTTTGAGATTTCCTCTTTCTTTTCAAGTTTTTATGAAATCTGTATGTTGTTTGTGTTATGTGGTATTATGAATAACGAGTTATCTATGGTTGAATCGTGTAATATGTCTTTTAAAATGTGTTGGCAATGCCTGTTATTTATCAGACTTCATAAAGGCAAACAACATTTGATGACAGAAATCTATTTGTGTATTCTAGCATCTTACTTTCAATTATTTCTATTACAACATTGTACTTTTGAATTTTTTTCCTTATAAATACATTGTATTTTGAGAAATCTATTCATAGTGTTCAATTTTTTAATTCTTGCTAGGACGTTCTTTGAAGAATCAATCTAATTGTAGCAATGAAAATAAGAGAACAATCAATCTAATTGTAGCAATGAAAATTGTTTTGTATTTGGATGATATTGCTATAAACAGTAGAAGATTTTTCTTAGATATAACTTATATAAGGCCAAAAGGCCTAGGAGTGTGGCATATCAACTCCTCTCATTTTTTTTCTCTGCCAACTGATCGTATTTTAGTTTCCCTCGATCACCTCTCATCCACTCAATGGGTTTGGCTACGACTTCAGGTGAGTTTGGTTGTGCTTCCCGAACAAACTCGATTTCTGGCTTGGAAGGGGGTTGGCTTTCCGGAACATATTCTGGGAGAGCGGCAAAATTGTGAAATAAGGTTGCATTTACGGGTAACACAGAGTAATATTGTGGTACATTTTGATAGTGAAAATTGTTGTGATTAGGGTAGTGGTGAAAAAATTAGGAGGGGCTAGTAAACCGGCGGATCGAAAGGAAAAAACATTTTGAATTGGTGTCATTGAACCACTTCCATACGATTTGTTTCGACCAGATCTTGCGGTGAGATTGGTGGGAGAGTTGTTTGGTTTTGATAAAAGAAGGTTTGAATAATGTTATAGTAGAAAGTTGTGTGAAATGAGGAGTAAAAGAATATTTATAGTGGTAAAAGATTAAAAAAAGAAAAAGAAAATGAAATATAGCCGTTGGAGGAAGAGAAAGGAGAAAGAGGCACGGGGCAAAGGAGTCATGTGGGGGGTTTCACTGCACACCGTTCATCACACCACCGTGGTGCCACGTCATCTCACTTCTCCTTTTGGTGCTTGTATACCATATCCTAAAGTTGTAGTATGAAGAAATAGAAGTGTGATGCTATAATAAACAAAACAATGAAAATGCATTGCTTTTTTTGTATTTAACCATTTGTTATTATTTGTAATTGAATAGGCTACCTAACTATGAGAACGAACGAAATCAGGCAAATTTATAATGCTGTCATTTATATCATATACAACCAAAATGACCAAAAACAAATAACCACTATATGTCACTCGATTTTGACTATAAATTTAGTGTAAAGTTCAAAAATACTTTTGTCAAACTAAAAAACTTGGTTATAATTAAACTTTTAGCCACTTCTTTGCACATTTTCCCCGTTGATATTCATAAAAAGTGCTGACGACAGCGTAAACGTATACGCATGCAATGGGACCTGCCTTCGGCATCCTCGTGGGTTTAGACGACAAAATAACCGCAACGTGTCACACCTCCACAATCCCCATCATGCCAATACGCGTCCATTTCAGGTCGAACTACCTCGTACCTCACTCGATGCATATCCTACTACAATGATGTTCTTAACAGACTCTCCATTTTGAATATAGGGTTTCAATTCCCACAACATGAAGATACCGCTTTTCGCGCTTTAATCGATACCCGGTCAGTTTTTATGTTTGAATTCAATTTCTTTCGAGATGCCAAATTTCACATCTTTTATTCGTGTGTTACTAGTTTATTATCGGGTTCCCCTAAATCACAACAATTTTGTATCAGTTCTAATCAAAACGAGGATACTACACACTAGCTAGGTGAACTGTTTTATGTTAGTCGATTTTAGGCAGTCTTGGTGAGAATTATAACTGGAAGCTGATTGAGTATGAACTTTAATCTAATTACCTAACATTATGCCCTAATTCTGATTACATGGCACTGAAACTGAGTTCCGAACTTATCATCTATGAACTAGATATTTGACAATCAATAACAACTAAACACAATTGCAGAAGCTGTGTTTGATGTATAGGAAGATGTTAGCAGAAGGGATGAGTAGTTATATGAATGAGAGTACACATAAAGACCCCCACACGCTAGCTGTCATTATTGCAGCATGTTTTGTCCTAATAGCATTGCTTCTATCAAGTGTTCTAATTGTTCAGCATCTCAAATGGTATACCAATCCAGAGGTTAGTTGATTTTTGATTTTGTAATATATAATATCAAGATTTTGGATGTTGTTAAAAGAAAAATCATTTCCAGGAGCAAAAATGGATTGTGGCAGTTCTTTTTATGGTTCCTGTCTATGCCACCGACTCGGTAAATTGTTTCTGTCAATATGAGTTTGATCAAACTTACATATTCAATTCACATCTTTAGGACCAAAATTGGATTTCTTGTTAATCAGATTCTGTCATTGTGGAAACCCAAGTTTGCTCTTGCTTGTGACATCTTAAGAAGTTGCTATGAAGCATTTGCTCTTTATTCATTTGGAAGTTACTTGATTGCCTGTCTTGGTAAGCAACTAACCATAAAATCCATCCTTTTTTGTTAAATTTTTGTGCAAAGTGTTAAATATAATTATCTTGTTAGGTGGTGAAAGAAGAGTGGTTGAATTACTTGAAAATGAGAAAGAAAAGCTTCTGAAGAAGCCATTGTTAGATGGGAAAGATGTGACACTGGATTTAAATAGAACAGCATTATGCAAATTCTTCAGACAACCACGTGTCCTTGGGGAAGAATTGTTACAAATTGAGAAATTTGGACTAGTTCAATACGTGAGTTACAAAACCATTGCTTAGTATATACTAGTATATACCTTGATAATATAATCCTTGTTTCTGTGTAATTCCATTAGATGATATTGAAGACCTTATGTTCATTTTTGGCAATGATACTAGCACTTGTTGGTGTATATGGTGATGGTGAGTTCAAGTTGTACTATGGGTATGTATGTATAAATTTCAATACGTTTCTATTTATTTAAAAAAAAATGATGAAAAAAAATGAGAATGGATATTGTGTTGTTGGCTTGTTGGTATAGGTACCCGTATATTGCGTTTGTTATAAACTTTAGCCAAATGTGGGCGTTATACTGTCTCGTGAAATTCTACCATGTGACTCATGAAAGACTTAAACCAATAAGACCCCTTGCAAAGTTCATCAGTTTTAAAGCCATTGTATTTGCAACTTGGTGGCAAGGTGTCGGGATTGCCTTGTTATGTTACCTTGAAATTCTTCCTAATGGCGGAAGATTTCAAACCGAATTGCAGGACTTTTTGATTTGTATTGAAGTGAGCTTTCCTTGCTACAACTCAACTCGTTTTTTTTTATCTATGTTGAATGAGTAAATGATATCAGTGTTTCTCTTTTTTGAACTGAATGAACTGTCTGGATTTTATATTTATATTTGTTTATTGCAGATGGCCATTGCAGCCATGGCTCATACTTTTGTATTCTCAGCAAAACAATATCATTATATGTCAGTATCCGAGTACGGAAAACTTTCCACCCAAAAAACAAAAGAAGTTGTGGAAGTAGATGAGGAAAACCCGAAACCCACGCATATTGAGAAGATGGAGACACAGGTTGAGGCTGCTGGGACTAGTGTCAAAGAAAGTGTTCAGGACATAGTTGTTGAAGGGGGTCAACATGTAAGTTCTCTTTTCAAACCGTCGCTAATAAATCCCCTTTCCCGTCGCTAAAACCTATACTATCTGGTTTTTTCTAGGTTGTAGAGGATGTTAGACTGACTATAAATCAAGCAATCGAACCTGTTGGGAAAGGCATGACAAAGATCCAAGAGACGATCCATCATTTGTCAGTTGGTGATGAGAAAGGGAAACAAGAAGTTGAAGTTGATGAATACAAAAAAGATGTTACAGAAGTGGGGCCTGATGACAAGAAGCTTGAAGTAAGAGTCGAAAAAGACGAAGAAGAATTTGGGAGAACTCATTTGACCCGGGAAAATTCAGAAGTTACAATCGAAGAGTACAAGCATGCTGTATCAAATTCTAAAAGAAAGCCAAGTTATTAATCAACCTTTGTGATTGTGTTGTAATAACTTGTATTATAGATGGGGCCATTTTTCCACTTTCGACACCAAAGCCTTAGGGACTCTTTTATAAGAGATGGAGTTGCTCCACCTTTTGTTTTAGCAGAGTAATCTCAACACCTTTGAATATTACAATCCCGATTGTTTTTCTACATGTTAGCCTGTATACATTTTTACAATGTCATCTATTTTTTTTTTACATGAAGCACACCATGTTTTAGGTTCAAATTGAGATCAATTCGCGAGTAAAACTCTCATTAACATGTTTACTCATACCATCCACAGCATCCAAAACACGTTACGAAACCACAAAATTGGGTCAAAACGATGGAGCATTGGTTGTTGATTCTCGAACAAGCTTGAACGCAGCACATACAACAGCACTTGCCAAACACATTTGCACAGCAGTTTCCGGCGGCTGCCGCCAGCATCTCCGTTTGGGTGGGCAACTTTGGTAAGAAACCGGGAGGAATGTTTTCAATTGTCGCAGTGACGTTGCCAAATTTAAGCCCTAATTGATGCAAAACTTTAATTTTTTCCGTTACTGTTTTAGGATCGGCGTCCTTTTTCCCGATTTTTTTTGCAGGGGGTCCTGTTTTTAACATGATCATACGAGTGTATTCTGACACAATACCAGTCTCCACGCTCATTTTACTGACCTTCACCTCCAGCTCTGTATCGTTTGAAAGCCATGCCTGAGCTGTGTAGAATTCGATCTGTTTTTTCGCCAACACCTGGTCAAAGTAAGTGACATGGTTAGAAAGAGATGATGTAAAATTGTAAATAAAGACCTACTTTGTGAAGAGGTATGTCGTTGACCCGTTGTCCTTGAATGTCGATTGTGAAGTTGGTCATATCGGGAAGAATGCCGCTGGCTTTTAGGGTTTCAGGGAAACCACCTTTGTATCGACCTGATAGGATTAATGGCCTTTCACACGAAAGGTCTGGAATTGTACAAGGGTGGATCTGTAGGGTTGGAGTTGTAATTAGGTATTTTAGACAGAGAGAGAGAGAGAGAGAGAGAGAGAGAGATAGAGTAATTGAAAATGAGGAACTGTAGTAGAAAATGAGGAAATTAGAGATGCAGAGAAACATACTTCTAGATCATCAAGACTATCTAGACCGTCGATTACAATGTTGGTCAACATGGTAGAAGAAGCTTTGGAAAACCACGACTTTATTCCAGTTTCAATTGATTCTGATCAAAATCAAACACATATATAATCCAACAAAAAACCATCATTGTCGTCTCAAAGAGTATTAATTTCGTTTGTTAACTTTAATGAATATAATCCCACTGGTAGTGAAGTTCAAAATAAATCTACTTCCTTATGTTGGTCACTTATATAATGAATCTCCATTGTGAGTGTATATCTGTTTTCTATATTTGGTTCCTCATAAGGTGTCCAAATGTGGAGGATTTTGATTGGATAATTAGCATGATCTTATACTCTAAATATGTTTTCGGGTTTTGTAAATCGTTTTACAATGAAATGTATAGCCGGTTATGTGATTTAATATGGCTTTTGTGGGTTCTGTAAACCATTTTGGGATTGGTGGATATGCTCCAAACCCGTAAGGGTTGAAACGCCAAGGTTGCTCTCATACACATGGTAAAAGAATAGAACACAAAAAGAAGAGGAACAGCTGAGGCAAGCATATCTACAAACGCCTTGGCTTCCCTTCCATTTAAATTTTAATGTGTTGAAACAAATATGAATTAAGTACCTGCATCGTAAGAAGCATCATAATGACCCCTGCCAATCATTGCAAGCATTCGCAAGAAGTAATGATTGCAGTATGATCCTGCACAATTAAGGCATGCAAGCTTATCAAATCTTTCGGATCTAAGAAAAAGGTAAATAAAATTAAATTGCAATTAAAAAGATAAAATAAGTATGTATAGTAAAGAAGGGAATCATAATGCGAAGCAATACCTATACCAAACGTGTTAATACGAGGGGCCAATTCTGATTCTTTGTTTTGTAGTTGTTTCTTTAGAACTTCACAGATTTGTCTCTCATTTTCAACAGATCCATCAGTAATAAAGAAAACCATTGGAACTGATTTACTTTTCCCGGAAAACATCTCTATGGCCTAACAAGTATCACATGAACATGAAATCAGATAATCTGGTTTTTTTTTTTATTATTATCATTAACAAATAACAACCCCAATTAAGTGAAGAAACAATAACCTGATTTAGAGCCATTGAAATGTTTGTACCACCAGCCGCCACAAAATTCTTGTCAATCCATTGGGTTGCATTTCCAATCGATTCCTTATTTGCTAACTCTAAACTCGATGAATATAAATGAGTCTCATCATTAAATGCCATTATACCAAAACGGTCCTCTTCATCAAGCTTTGAGATTGCTGATATCACTGCATTCTTTGTAACCTCAATTGTGTTTTCCTTCATGCTTTCACTCGTATCAACAACAAAAACAACTTCTTTCCTGCACATCTATCATATAAATTGGACAAAATCACCACTCTAACCTCAACTATTATATTATATACTTCCACTCTCACTATATATATCACCAACCTTTTTACCCTTATGTGGTCCTGCAAATAAGTACAAGGAAAACATATCCCTTTGATCAATATCCAGTGTTGATGGAGACTGCAGAAGGACACTACCAAATGAATTCGTTGTAGAAACCTAAAACATATTACAAACACATATCATGTTACTTGATTTTATTTTTATGATAAAAATATACAAGGTGGACGAGCTTACGTGGTATTTGTATACAAAATCTGTAGCTGACCATGAAAGAACATCAGCTTCATACAATAAAGCCAACTTCCCTGGTTCTCTCTTTCGTTCCTGGATTAAAGAATAATCAAGTGTTTAATGGTAGGATTATAGAATAATGAAAGATTGATACAATCTATAATACCTTTAGTGGATGACTAGTTGTGTTACACACAACTTCGGTTGTGAGACCAGAGTTAATACTGAGTTGTATCTTTTCCTTTTTTGGGAGTTTTTTTCCGGCAGGGGTGACATACTCCGGGAAGGTATAAGGCACATCTAATATGAACTCACCATCTTTATACATTACTTTTTGCGACCATCGAACTTTGACCGAAACATTCGAACCACCGTCAACATGTGGCACTGTTAAAGTAAAAATGTGGGGTTTCAGAAGGCCTCCTTCTTCAGGTGGCGCTACACTTTCTCTTTCCCCAATTTCTTCCATTGGAGCTAGTTGAGTTGAGTATGTTATTCTTGGTACTTCCACCTCCGCACCTAGAATTGAACCCTGTTAGCCAAATCATATAATATTATTCCAGAATTGTACAAAATTAACCTAATTCAACCAAACCAAAACCTAATTGAAATCCCTAAGTCGAAAAATTAATTACCTCTTCTCCCATAGGAACTGCAATTCGACAACTGCAGTTTTCGTCTCCCATGACGCAATGAACCCGCCAGGAACCGCTCATTGTCACGAACGCCGTATCCAAATAACAATCCACCTCAAACGAAATTCCGTTCATCTGAAGAGGAATCAACGCCGGCGGATTACATCTTCCGTGGACGTGAGGCTGGTAACTCGGCATGTCAGGGTTGTCGACGATGGCTGGGTTGGAAATTACGGCGTAAACCATAGGCGATGTGGGGTATAGCGATCGTGTAGCTTTCTCCATCGGCGTTATATGTTTGGGCGGTGCCACTGACCGGTCATTACCAAAGTATATACGCTTTGCTAACCTGAGGCCATCTTCGACCCCCGTCGTGAAGTTGTCGTCGGACATTCTGAATTATGTTGACTTGTAGGGTCAACGACGAGAAGAACAGGGTTTCTGGGCGGAGGCGGAGCTATGGTGCGCTTCGTTTTCTTCGTAATGTTTCGCGTTTTTCTTGGTGTTTTGGGGTTGTAGCTAGGCCGGCGATCTTTCGGCAATGATAACACCGGAGAAACTGACGGGAATCCAACGGTCTGTTGTGTTGCATGAAACGAATATGGTGTGTGTTCCTTCTAACCGTAAGCAATAACGAGCGAGATTTCAAATCTTCCTTTTTGTAAATTTATAATATTAGTCCTTAATTATCAGTAGATGTTTACATTTCATACTCCTTATGGTTAATTTTGTTTTTCATCCTCAATCAATCACATATTTTCAATTCAGCCAAAAAACGTAGGGAAAATGACTTATAAGTCCAACGAAGTTTCGAAACCGTTCAAAAAACTTCAATTATGTTTTGTCTGTTCAAGAAAACCCAACGGACTTAACCTTTTGTCTAAAATAGTCTAATTAACTTACACTTTTGTTCAATTCTCATTAGGGTCAACCGACTAATGAAAGTTAACAAATGACATGGATTATGACGTATAATTAAATATCGAGAAAATGACTTATAAGATCAACAAAGTTTCAAAACCATTCAAAAAACTCAAATCATGTTTTGTTTGTTCAAAAAAACCTAACGAACGTAACGTTTTGTCTAAAAAAACCAACGAACTTATGCTTTTGTTTAATTCTCATTAGAGGCAACCAAATTCATTAGGTATACAACTAGTTGGCAAATTACATGGAATTATATTTAATGACATGGAATAAACATATTAGAATTGCCCTTTATATATCGATTCAGGGCTTGGAGAAGAGAAAAACGAACGACGTTTATGTTCGATCTCTTGTAATGGCTACCTCTTCTTCTTCCTCTCAATCGTTGATGTCCAACTCAAGATCTACAAAGAAGATATTTGATGATGCAAACCCTTGTAGATGTGGACGCCCTTCTCAGATTTGGACATCTAGAATGAAGGATCATCCAAAGAAAAAGTTTCAGGGCTTGTTCGAACAAATGGATAAGTGTAATTGAAAGCTTTATCATGTCCATCTTCTATCTATTTGGATGATTATCTTAATAAGTTCTTGTTTTTGAAGGAAACAAACAAATAGATAGAAGATGGACATGATAGAGATTTCAATTACACTTAGCCATCTGTTCAAATAAGCCTTGAACTTTTTCTTTGGATGATCCTCCGTTCTAGATGTCCAAATCCGAGAAGGGCGTCCACATCCATAAGGGTCTGCATAATAAAATATATTCATTGTAGATCTTGAGTTG